CATATATACATACATACATACATACATACATACATGCATACATACATACATACATACCTACATACCGACATACCTACATACCTACATACATACATACATACATACATACATACATACATACATACATACATACATACATACATACATACATACATACATACATACATACATACATACATACATACATACATACATACCTACATACCTACATACCTACATACCTACATACCTACATACCTACATACCTACATACCTACATACCTACATACCTACATACCTACATACCTACATACCTACATACCTACATACATACGCCTCCAGCTCCGCCCCCTTGGTGCTCCTCCGGCTCCTCAGCGTCCAACGTTGAAGCCGCCTGCGCCTAATTCATAGGAGAAGCCGGCAAGCCTTACTTAAATTTTTGAGAATCGAGGAGGAGGGCAGCTGTAATAAATACGTTTTCTTAAAAAAATTGGTCTCCTACTGGTATTTTATAAGACAATTTACAGACATACATATAAACGCACATACATACATACACACACGCACACACATACATACACATTCACACACTCATACATACATAAACACATACACAAATTCATACATTCAAACATGCCTTCATTAATTCATGCATGCAGGCATATATATACACATGCACACATTCATATATAAATACATACATATATAACTATTCAATTTGGCATCTAAATCTGGCAACATTATTCTTGGTCCAAATTCATGTGAACATGGTTCCCCTTAAATATCCTTTATGGACATAACCCCATAACTTGGTCAAATGTCATCAGATTTGTATGAGGCTTGGCTCTTTGTTCATGGTTCGGCCTCTTGATCAATTTAGCACCTAAAGCTGTCACCATTATTCTTGTTATATATATGTGTATTCATTTATTTCAAAAAACTGTCTACGATAAGATATTCCAATAATTGCAGGGTATTTTACCCAAGTCACAGTCAAGTAAACGGTTCCTTGTCGCTCTATATTTATATGCCACATGTGCGATATCGTAAACATAATATAGCCACGAGTCAACAATGGATATGGCTATAAAAATGTATCGCATGCTTTTATGTAAATTCGAGTGCGTATTTTGTTATCGTTGTAGACAGCTGTCTTTGTGCCACGTGTTGGTTGGTTAAGTCCTTAGTCAGGACTTTGTCGCTGGCCCCGCCCCTTGCCGCCTTGACACCGATACGGATACGCTTTGTCAACATTGTTGAGCGTGTTGCGTGTTTAACTGTTGCCTGGATGAAAACATTTCTTAAAGGGCGAGCACAACAAATTCTGGAACCAAGTGCGACAACAACGAATCCATCAACATGACACGGTTCTTCTTTCGTTGAATACCACTCGAGCACCCTATTTGTTGTCCGTCTGTCGGTGGGTTTATTTAATATTTAATTCACAAAAGGAAAGAGTAGCTGGAAGAAGAGTTAATATCCTTTCTCTAATGTGAAATGACGCTAAAATATTGTGGTTTCAGCCGAGCTTTGGCTTATGTAACTTCTTTGTCGATCGTATCTAACATAAATGAGCTTTAAGATATAGTGAAATTATAGAAGTATATTGACAAAAAATATATTAAAATATATCATAATTATAATCATATGATTTAAAAGCAAAAAGTTTCTTTATAGATAAACTAAATGTTTAACTCATGTCCACAAGGCAGCTAAAGTAGTCCTAATTAACAGTAATAATAATTTTTTTTTTACGTATATCAGAAATAAAACTTTTAAATTAAAAAAAAAATTAGTTTAACAAACATTCAATAAATCTTATCAAGTTATTTTTTAAACTGTGAGATAAGTTTGTATAGAACATTCAACGTAGGCATTCGGATGAAGCTATTTATACGAACTTGGCTGTTAATACTAGTTAAGAATTTTAATACTTTTGCTTTCCCAGTGCGTTACACATTTTCTCACAAAACTAGAATACCCTTTGTTAGGGCATAATCATATTTGTCATGTTAACTTGATGGGATTGAGAAAAATAAATGCATAAAGGAAAATCAAATTGTTGACACAATTTTGTTGGAAGTATGAATAAATTTCAAGCACGCGTTGTAAATTGCCAAGAAACATGATACTTTTAAAAGGGTTGAAAAACATGTAGAACATTTGAAGTTGGGCTCATATAAACCTTGAAAATCTTTGAACTTTATATTATGTAGCTAAATCAACATTTTTTTTTTCAGTACAGCATTTGCAGTTGTATTTGTTTGCACTTAAAATATTATGCGAACCTCTTCAATCCACGAGAGAAGCACATTTGTCTAACACATTTTTCCAGTGACAACTTGACAGCTCGGCATGTGGCAACAGCAGCAGCTACATTGAGTCCCCAATGGGCAGAGGGGGCAACATTCAGCAACAACAACAATAAAGTAAGGAATGTACAGAAAGTCTGAGAAAAAAAGACTTAAAGCCCTTATTGAGCTTAGGTTCTTTACCTTTCAACGAAATAATTCGCTTGTTGAGATGTTAAAACGAAATCGATATTTCATTCCATTTAAGCGAATCATTAGAACTTAATCCTTACAGAGGTTAAACATTGTTTAACGCACCTACAATTTTAGAGTACCCGAATATATATATTTTGGTCTTATACGGACTTTCTAATTCCTCAAGATATAAGCATTTCGTCGAGCATGCAGACGTGTTATGCTTCTATATCATCCCGTCTATCATAATTCTTTGTTATTATATAAAAGTTATATATCAACTTAACTCTTTGGGGCTATCTTTATGGCCTTGCAAAAATTAAAATGTTTTCAAAAGTCTTATTGATTCCATAAAGAATATTATTCTTATCAGCATGACAAGTCGACTTTCTGTAGAGCCATAGAGTTAATTGTTGATTAAAATGTTTGGCTTGTGAAAAGAATTTTGATATCCAAAGTCTTATACTTGGAAGAGTTTTAGTGCCTTGTTGTTTAGATATTTAATTATAGTTAAAAACTAAACGTGAGGATCCTGGCTAGGACCTTACATAGTTATAAGAGTTCGTTCAGCAAAGATATAGCCTAGGATTCCAGGTAGTTATATTATGTACTCCTCATCGTTGATAAGATTGGATAGCATTTATTATTTTCCTTATATTATTTTCTAAAGCAGAATGAAATAAATGAAACCTGTGCTACCTGAGATACGCAACCGTTTTTCAATTGCCCACCTTAAATTTCAATAAAAATGCAGCATTTATTCATCTCAAATTACAATAGCCTAAAGTGATTCGACCGTCTCAGCTCTAATCTTCATTTCGCACCACAAAAGCACGAACCGCAAAGAAAATTAAAACCAATCATTAGCTATGCCAATTCCGAGCTCCATTAAGAACAATTAGAATTAGCAATGATCTAAAACCAACTCGAACGCTTTGAAATTGAGCGGATGTTGCACGAGAATGCGAGAAATTGGCAACAACAAAAACGTGTAGTCAGCAATTTGTTGTTGTTGTGGTTGTTGTTGTTAATGTCGTTGTTCTATGCGAAACCGCAAACAGTCTGACGGTATTATTTACTTAGTCAGTCAACAGAGCACCCACCACGAAAAAAAAAACACTTGTGTGCACATAGATTAAAAAAGCGAAACTCAGACACAACAGTGAGTACCCCCTCCCCCTCCCCCTCCCACGCTCTACCACCCATTGCAGCACCCTCTCGCCCTGCGAACGAGTGGCTAAAAAGTGATTAACACAAAGCTGAGACAAGGCGACTGACATGTAACATTAATGCTAACAAGAACACAAGTTAAGAGTTAGTCCGCCAAGACTTAGTCTGCTCGACTAGGATATACCCTATACAACGTGCCGAGCCAATGATTGCAGCCCAATCTTTATGAGATTTTCAGTGCATAAATATGGCGTCCGAATGTGAGCCAAATACCAAAGGCCAACAATAACTTCAAAAATAAGTTCACATAAGTTGCATACTAGTCCTTCAAATCCTACTAGTCCTTCCCTTGGCTATTCGCCTGGTAGATATCACAAGGTACTGATCGTTTCTAGCGCAAAACAAAACATATTATTTAAAAAAAAATTTAAATAAGTTTTTTACAATGTTACAAAGTTATTTCACTTTCACTGCTTATTCTAAACGAGAATCTGCATACAAAATTAAGAGCAATCTGTAATCGATTTTTATCGAATTCGTAGAAAGTTTGATATATGTAGGTCTTGAAGTTAGACAGATGAACGGATGAACAGAAAGACAGACAGACAGATAGACAGTCAGAGAGACATATAGACAGACAATCAGATAGACAGATAGACATATAGACAGAGAGACAGATAGACAGTCAGATAGATAGACATATCGGCAGACAGGCAGATAGACAGATAGACAGTCACACAGACAGATAGATGGACAGACAGACAGACAATCATGGCTAAACCAACTGAGCTCAGCGCTCTGAGCAAGAATCTATATACGTTATAAAGTTCAATAAAGTTCCTTCTGCCTGTAACACACATTATACCCATTTTTGATACCAACAGGGTATTAAAATAAAAAATAAAACGAGACATAAATCGAGTGGAAAAATAAAACAACAGCGAAAAGCACATGGAAAAGTAAACAAGCCAAAAAAGAAGAAAAACGCAAAACATAAAAATAAAATAAAAATAAAAAACAAGAAGAAAAATTGGCAAACTGTGCGGTCACGTAGCGAACGAAAGCAAAGATTGAAACAGACGGACGGGCCGATCGGAGACGTTCTAATGAGAAAGCTGACCAGAAACTATGATTTTTGGGCAGCCCAAAATCAAGCTGGCCGGGGCACGGGGATAGGTATGGGGCGGAGGAGAGGGGGGTCGGTGCAGCTCAATTGCCCGAAAGTGAGAGCGCAGCGTTCGAGCTGCATTCGAGCTGCAGTCGGTATCTGACAGATACGTGTGCCGCCGAGCATTTGAGACGCCGCCAACGCCGCCGCCACACAAAACAAAAGCCAAACGCTGACCGAGCTGCGGCAACATTTCCATGGAAACTGCCAAGCCGCCAACAAGTTTATCGATGCTGCTGTGGCTGCTGCTGCTGTGGGTGCTGCTCTGTGGCGCGACCATCGGGTAAGTTGACACTAGCCAAACTTAAAGTCAAAGTAAATTGCATGATTCCGACCTTAGCTCGGCGCTGCCCAAACGCGAGCTGCAAATGCTGGAGATGATGCAGAACATTTTGGGCGTGGACAGCGCCGATTTGAGTGGACGCAGCCAGCGCTCGAGTCCCATGCTGTTCGCCTCGTCGGTGCCCTGCGAGGACAGCCTGCCCGAGGACAGCAGCGCCCAGCTGAGCCTGTTCGACGAGGACCTCGACGAGAGCGAAGAGTGCGGCGACTATGGACGACCCTGCCACGAGGCCATACAGCTACAGTCGGGCCTGGAGCCCTGCGCCCGGCCCATGCTGCCCATGCAGCATCCCTGCTTTGTGCGCGTCGTCTTGCTGCGCACGCCTCTGCTGCGGCACGATCCGTGCACTAACTTCACCCTGGGCATGGCACAGCCGACAACAACAACCAGCAGCACGACCACCAGCAGCCCCTCTGCTATGAAGCCCAGGCGCAAAAAGTGCAGATCCAAGATGCACAAATCGACGCCAAGACCAGAGCCAGGCAGCAACAGCAACAGCAACAGCTCCAGCACAAGCCCAGCCACAAGCACCACGGAACTGGAGACAACAACAACTACAACAACAAGTACAAGTCCAACCACAACGAGCAGGCCAGCGGAAACCAGCACCACAGAGCGCACCACGAGTACGACAAGGACCACAGCCAGGACGACAACAACATCAACAACAACGCCGAGCACCACAACAACCAAGCTGCTGCCCACCATATTGGCGCTCGACGAGATTCCAACCACAACTGTGCCGAGCAGCAGCAGCACCACCGTCGTCTACACCCGCCGCAACCAGCTGAAGTCCCTGCGCGGCAAGCGCCGTAAGCAGCAGCGCGGCAAGTTGGCAGGGGTGCCGGATAAGCCGACGATCAAATTGGATGGCACCATGCAGCCCAGTGATACGTTTCCGGTATTTCTGACCACAGAGGCCGCCGAGCTGAGAACACGTCCCAAGTCCACCACAATGCGGCCGGAAGCGATGGCCACAGCATCGACAGAAGGTGAAACAACAACCGAGTGCATCGAAGCATCCGACGATGAGGAAACCGCAACGGAAAACGCTGAGAGCAGACCAAACCAAGAAGAAGAAGAAGAAGAAGACAAAGAAACTGAAGGTAGGTGGCGCCACTAAAGGTCAAAAATATGCTTGCCTTGTAGACTTCTAGAGAAAGTCGTAAGAACTTTCGACTAATTGCACTTATTTTACGTTAATTGCCCAATATTTTTTTCAATTTGAGCTAATTGTGGGATTTATGATTTTTCTAAAAACAAAAACAATCAGTTCTTCGTTAATTCGTTTCTATCTACAGTAAAATATCGAAATATATATATTAGGAATGGATTAGGATATCAGTCAGATTAAATATAGCCTGTTACTAAAGTGAATGAAGCCACGTGTAGAAAAATGGGTAAACACAACTGGAAGAAATTTCTAAAATTAGTACACTGAATAACACCCAACTTTTAGAAAAATAGCCATAAAATGAAACTTAAAAAATATATATAGTTGTTTTCTAAATTTTATGGTATTTTTCCGAAATTTACGGTAAAAATGTTCTTGAGTGTCTTTTTCTAAGAGTAGAAAACATAAAAATTTTCTGATATTAAAAAAACGAATTTTTTTTGGCGATTTTGAAAATTTTGAATTTTGAATTATTTATATCATCAATAGAAACTTTCGTACGGTTCATAGTTTTGAACATTATATAGACTAAAAATAATTTCTAATAGCTAAATAATAACTTTATTAAGCTCAAACGTAGATGTAAGTTGAATTTATTTTTCAAATTTAAATATATTCTCACCAATAATACAGAGAGCGAAGACTGTGAGGATGCCGAAGATCAGGATACGAATCTTTGTCCACAGTTTTCAGCGCCTGAGGAGGCGGGTAAGTGAAAAAGCTTAAACTAAACGATTTGATAAACAACAAATGAATATTCCATTATTTGATTGATAGCCAATATGCGACTTATGCCGCCGGGAAGCCGCTATCGCAAGCCTGTCAAGAACTATGTGGAGCCCATTCTGTATGAGGGTCAGTTCGCCAAGCCACGTCAGCGGATCGGCATGTTTCCACCGCAGCGGAAAGATTTTTATGTGAGCAACAAGCAGATCATGCCCAGGCCAAGGCCCAAGCTCCGACAGCCGCTGCCGCATTCGATCTACATGAACAACATTGTGCGTGGACTCAAGTGCAGCGATGAGGCCGGCGCACACGCCCATCCGCCGCAGCCGAGTCGCTACCTATCCAGGAAGCCAACCACAACGCCGCAGCGTATCTGGCTGAACAGACGCAATGGGGGGGGCTACGCGCCGTTGGGCTCGCAGCCTTCAGCTCAGGGCCCGCAACGCGGACGCGGTCATCCGCTGTATGGACTCAGCTCCGGCGAGGATCCGGACTCGTACGGCCACGACAGCGATCAGTACTATGATGATGACACACCCGATCGTCTGGCCTGGCCACGTGACCATCCGCTGCATGTATCGTCACCCACTGCGGATCCCTGCCAGGCGGAGATTAACCGCGAGAGACAAAGGCAGCGCGAGCGGGAACGGGAGCGGGAGCGAGAGCGGGAGAGTGATAGGGACAGAGACAACGAGCATCTACTGGACTATCCGCAACGTCTGTCGCCACGTTTCTTTACCTAGCCACATAATAATAGCCTAAGCCAAAAGCATTACCCAGCACACAGTAGCATAATAAACAACTGCACCACAAATAATTTGATGGCTACCAAAAAACTCTGCTCCCTGTGATTAGGAAACTTCAAAGCTGCGATGAGTCCAAATCTAACAGCCGCTGCTCCTTAGCCCGCTTGACTACGTCAACAATTGACTCCGAACAGCTCAATGGGGGCGCCCATCCACTTGGCAGTCAATGAGTCGCAGACACGCGCCCGTAATGAGCGAATGGCACCGCTGGGCGGTCGGTCACCTGATGATTGTGATATCCGAAGCGCCACAGACAGCTGTGCGGATTGTTCAGACGAGTCGACAAAGTTGCGAGGCCTAATGATATGGCCAAGGCTGTGATTGATGAGCACATGGCAACCACTTATTACGACGAGCCAACCAGGCTCAAGTACTTTCGCACTCACACCTCACATGCAAACAGAAACCTTTTTTGAAAACTTACTAATACATGAGCATTAGGCAAAAGATACATTTATAAGTTTCGAATACATCTGTTGACATTAAGCTTTTCTTTGCCAGGCAGTTGAATTACTTTAGTTGTCTACATCCTCCTTTCAACTAAATGTTAAATGTCTAACAGCAGAAAACCAATTTCTTTTGTGAGCTTTAAAAATTCACAAATACATGAGCACAAATTAATGTTGTGCTTACATCCTCCTTGCAACTCAATGTTAAATATCTGACAGCAGAATGCCAAAAATGTTTATGAACTTTAAAGAATTTATCAATGTGGATATTGAAGGTAACTTGTGAGTGTCGAATAGGCTCTATTGTGCTACAATTAAATTATTTTTGGTTTCTATAACTTACTTTCAACTAAATGTTAAAAATCTAACAGCAGGATATCAATTTTTCTTATGAGCTTTCAAAGCTCACAAATACATGAGCATTTAGCAACGTACAAAAAAAATATATATATTCTTAAGACTTAGATAAATGAAACTAATTTTTTTGAGAATAAATTAATTCTTAAATTTGGAATATATTTGCTTATGTACCTGATAATGCTCATGTTAGTTGCCTGACAGTTTTTTTTTTTGTGCGTCACTTCTTAAAGTCCACATAATTTTAGACGTCTCCCATGCGTTACACACTTGATCACAAAATAACAGTGCCCTCTATTAGGGAGCAACAATAAGTTCATTCACACAAAGGAACTCTTGATGACCAATTATTATCAAGTTTTTATCAGCCTTCGTCATGTGTAACAATTGTCAGAAAAATGTTGATTTCAATTACTTTAAACTTTTTTTTTTATTTTATTTAACTTTCATATCATTGGGTTGTAGCTCACAATGCTTATCGTCAACTGACCTTGACTCTGTCGCATACCCTGTACTTTATGGCATAACGCAGCCCAGACCGTGCGAAATTGAGCAACAAAACATTCATATTTATCACATCACTAAAAAATCAGAAGAGCGAGCCCCAAAGGAGTTACCCCAAAGCAAGAACAAAATGAAAACAAATTATTGTCGGCAAGCCAGCCCCCTTGCCGCTCCCCCCCGCATACACCCTTTCGCCCACCACACACTCGCGGTCACACTCGAATTACAGTTCTCACAGACATGCCATAAACTTTTGTGCACGCTCTCGCCCGCTCTCTTGTTTTGCTCTCTGTGACATTGTAAATGTCACAGGATGCCGCGTGGGTGATGCGACGGCGCAAGAACAAAACAGAGAGAGAGAGAGCAATGCAAAGAGAGAGCGCAAGAGAGCGCGCGTCTTTATGAGAGAGCATTTTAGCAAGCCGAGTCTAGGTCTATGGGCCAATATGTGTACTGATTTTTAGGTTCTCCTGGCTCGTGGCACAGTGCGGACGTGTTTTTCAGTTCGGGCGGAAACCTGCACGAAAGCTGTTGATGAAGAAAATTGCAAGAAAAACCGTTCTGCAGCAACAACAAAATAAAAACCATATAACTTAATCAATTAAAGCAAACGATAAGAAAGCCAAATGCAACGCAGCCAATTAAATGAAAATCTGTTTATTGTGAATTAACTTGTGTGTCAGTGTTGAGTGAGTGTGCGTGTGTGTACCTAGTCTTAAAAGTCCCCTACCCTTAATGAAGTGCATTTAAAACCAATCTAGTAGCAAAAACAGAGCTTAATATATAGCCAAACATAAATGTCTATTGCCAAGCCGTATTTAATCTAACTCTTAAAGCAAAGCAAAAGGTGCAGAAACAGCAGCAAAACCAGAGCCAAAATCGATAAAAAAAATTTTAAAATAAAATCCCAACATCTCCTATGGGCCAACACCTGTGACAACAACAACAACAATCACATTGGTCAAAGAGTTATTAAACGTTATTGAAAAAGCAAACACTGCCAAAGAACGAGCAAAACATTCAACTCGATTCCAATGAAGTTAAACCACCGTTTCAATTCTGAAGATAAATACTATATGAGCAGCATTTAAGGGGCCTACAAGCAGTAACTAACTGGGTCAATAGGCAGCAGCAGCAGCTACTGTTGCCAACTTTTTCGCCCTCAAAACCCGAGCCAGGGCTTCCTGGCAAATACGGTAAGTTACTTTCAGCCAAAGAGCCAAGTGTTGAGCAAACTTTTTACTTCAATTTGACAGTAGTTTTGTATCTACCCTATATTAAAAGCAATTAAAATGGGGTATGATAAGTTTAGGCACACTTACGTAACAGACAGACTCTATGATAAGCATTAACATCCAATCTATGTCCATAATTATGCCTATTTCTTGAGTGAATGCACTCTACAGTTACAAGAAACTGATTCTTGGAGATATGGAAGATACAAAATCTGGCATTCCAAATTGATGGGTTCAGTGGGTGTACTTTCTCATAAGCCTACAGTTCCACAGTATATAGTTAGAAAAGACCTACGTCAGGGTCAAATTTAAATAAATAAATAATTAAAAGGCTATTCATATTATTTATGAAAGCAATAATAATAATATTAAAATAATTACTATGACAAAAATAATAATGATACAAATAATAAAAAGATCTCAAAATATAATAACAATATTAATTACACGATGAGATTTCACCAACATTTACAATACAATACAATATAGTAGATTTCAATACCTTAAAAAATTAAACCTAAATATTTATAATAATTATTATAAATAATATACAAATTATAAAATATAAATGTTTCAAATACGTACGTTTTCGATTCATATACATTTCATAGGAATAAATGTGTACAGGGTAACTGTTAGTCAACCCAACTGCTTTCAAGCTTTTAATGTTGTTGCTGATTTGGTTTTTTTCTCAATGTGTTTTTCTTAACGTTCTCTCGGTTATTGGTGGCGCCAAGCACAGAAGCTTACTTTCTGATTAACTTGCAAGTTTTGTTAAAAAATAGGAACAACACAAATAAAAAATAAAGAGTTATTCACACCAGTTGTTTATACCGCATCTACTTTTGTACCTATGTAAAGTGAAACGGTCAGAGAAGTAAACAGAGCTTTTCACATCGCAGAAAAATTCGTGGAAGTTGCCTTGCTCTGCAGTAGCCACCCGATACTGTGCTGTGTGGCTTTTAGAGGAAGCAGCTGCTGCCACAATGTCTGGCAGAGTTTTGCTATTAGAGCCGTGTTTGTATGCCCTATACGTACCAGTCAGGAGGGGTATATTAGCAGTAGGAGTCTTACAGACCAAAAGTCTCTTATTTCTAGCTGATATATCAATTTCTAAACTTCTTGACACGTTTTTTTAATGTTACAGCAATTATAAACAATTTAATTATATTTATCTACTTCTCCTGCTATCGTTTTGTTGAAAAATATAAAAACTTTTAAGCCCAAAATACTTATTTTTTACCTCCATCTTATCTACAGTAAAACTTTCAGTTTCCCAACTCTTAAGGTTAGTCAGTCAGTCGGGACAAACAGTTTAATATAAAGAGACTATCCACAGGGTATATTATTCTTTCGTCCTATCTTAAGTAGTTCATGCATGGGTCGTGTCGCCTGTTAATGCGGGTCAGGGGGTCAGCTTTTGTTTTTCTACCCTCAAATGTTTTTGATTGCGCTTCACTTCTCGGCGGCTCTGCCAATTGAAGATTGTGAAGTCTAAATTTAAGATATGCCAGCGCTTTCCTTGCCAAGTTTCGAGAGCCTCAGGCGAGCTTGATAATTTGCCAGCCATGATTGGGTTCGGGCAAAGTATGTAAACGAATCGACTTATAAACGAAATCAATAAATTATCTTTGAGAAAAGTTTGCAGGTACTAGAGAAACTGGGCTGAAATGGAATATTGAAATTGCATTTCTAAATATCAAATTGCAAAGGTTATGTGTAATTAAACGAAAGTTTTTTGTGGGTTTTTCAACAATTTGTAGCTACAAGCTACAATAATAGATGCAATGTCCCCGGGGCATAATTGTCCTCAAACTGTTCTGGCCGCTTAACGATTTACACTTAATATATTATTGCGAAGAAAACAAAATGCTCAAAAACAATGCAAGTAGCTTTTGTAGATTTCGTTTACCCCTTGAAAAGTCGACAATGGTTGTTGAAAGATTTTCAATAATAATACAAATCAAATAATGTAGCATTTGCTTAGACCAAAGTCCTGAACAACGTTAAGCCAAGTTATTTCCTTTAAAGTTATTATATTTCTTAGATTTTTTTAGATTTAAAAAAAGCAATAAGCTTCAAAAATAATAAGTTAATGAATTCCGGAAATAGGAAGTAAAGTTTGATCACAGATACAGACGACATTATAATATACTTTGTTCAAGAACAAAATAATATAGAGATTTTTTTGTGGCTACTTTGGCATTTTTCATCTTTTTGTTACGATCCTAGAAACTAACATTATTTCAAATGTGTAGAAATAGTAAATATCAAACAATCTGTTTTAATTATTTATGCAGAAAAAAGGAAATAAATATCAAAACATATTAAAGTTTACTCAGTTTTGCTGCCGCTTATCGGAAAACACAATACGCAATTGTTTTGCTTGGAAATTGAACATGAAACCACGGTGAACAAATAGGATCGCCCCCTCTTGCCACGCCTTCCCACGCAAGTCAAACAAGTTAAGCTTTAATCGGCGCCATGAAGCAAATATAACTTGCTGGACAAAGTTCAGTAGCTCTTAACTTTTCTCGATGCATATATATTGGTTGGGGATAAGTGGACACGCGTGTGCCACAATTTATATGACACACATGCCACATGAGCCGACCCAAAGCGCTCGCACATGCAGCAAGGCCTCGGGGACAAGGACATTAGGAAGAGGAATACGACAAATGTTGACTCGAATCGATGGTTATTTTTACGCGGCCCGAAAGCTGAGCACCCGCTGCCTAGGCTCCCATGTCGGCTCCTGCTGTGTCCCATTACGTATTCATTGGCGTAATTGGTATTTGGTGTAACTTATGCAAGGAATTTAAATGCCTGGCAGCAGGTACAGGTACTTTACCTATGGCACTCGGATCTGCAAAATATGCAGGTCACCAAGCTAGAAAGTCCTTCTATAATTAGCAAATGCCCAGGTCTACTTGTTGTGTGTGTGTGTGTGTGTGTGTGTGTGTGTGTGTGTGTGTAATCGTGAATGTAATTACCCTCCTAGCCAGGCATGTCAAGTGACAGCTTGTACTATTTATGACTACAGCTACTTATTCTAGGCTAACCTGATTACACCTCTGCGCATACGCTTTGCCTTATTAACTTTGCGACTTTATTATATGCCGAGGGGCTCGCCTTGCCATGTGCCTGTTAAAGTACATGTTAGTTGAGAATAGGTTTAATATATTGGCAGTCAAATGTTTAAATAATTTACATATGAATATGTGCCGTGTTAAGCAGCACTGTTGTATTTGGCAACTCTGTCAAGGCTCTGCATGCACAATCTTTCAGACTAACATTTGACAAGATCTTAAACAACACTGTAAAGCCTGAAAACAACTTTAAAAATCTAGTGTAACATATGCAAAGCAGCTCTGTTAGCCATGACAGCTACTGTCAAGGCTGCTAATTTTAGACATTGTCAAACTATCCGGCAACGCATACAGATATTCGCCATGGCAGCTCCTGTCAAGGCTACTTATTTATGCACTGCGAAACTATCTGGCAACGCTTTCAGAGATATGTACTTTGCATTTTATATGAAGCGCTTTCAAAATATGATAATGTGACTGTCAACTTTGACAGGATGAATATGTAACGTTAATTTATGTTGGCTGAAAAGCTATTCTGACAATTATGTGCGCCCACGCACTGCTTAACAGTGTTGAAAAACACGCACAGCACTCTGGCAGCACTTTAAGGCACAATTTTAATTTAAAATTAGAAACATGCCTCAATGCTTTTCAAGCAAACGCCTCTGTTTCAAGCTGCCCCAAGAGATACATAAGGGCTAATAAAAGTTTAATTTTATTTTTATAACCCTTTACCTTTTGACACAAATCCTTTTCTATATTTAGAGACGGCGCGTGCCGCATGAGCGCTTGCTGCAAAATGCGTTTGTGCGACAAATGGTTAAATTCGCACAGAGTCGTTCGAGCTATGTAGATGGTTGTAACATTAATTGTTGCTGTAGCTTTTGTTGTCATCTCTCGACAGTTACGCAACACATCAAACGCGACCTTACGGGAATAACTAACTAGCCTCCGATGCCCTCGAGCTCTATTTAGCCAATATATTCCGCGGAATAGTTAAGGGAAAATCAATAGCAAAAACGTTTTCCTTTCATTTGCTGATTTTTGCACACGCTGCGAAATTGAAAATTTCATTTACACTTGACACTGGCACAAATCAGCCTACATTCACTTCTTACCCGCACCCGCCCCCACCTCCGATGGTACCCTTCCGCCCACCTCCCGCTCCGCTCAATCGCTTTGCCATTCGCACGCTTTACGTGGCCGGTTTTCCCCGTAAGCCAGCTGACATGGTTCGTTACAAAATGCTTGGCTACCATTTTCATATCCGCCATGTGTCTGTTCAGAGGAAAATCGAATGAAAATCGAAAGAAAAACGTCAAGTTAAATAACAAAATTGAATGCAATGCATGGCGCTGAATGGGAATATATCTGATGAAAAATAAAATAAATACACAAGCAAATATGAACGGACCTCGCGACAGGCGAGCAAATGCCATTTCCTTCTGATCTCCTGATAAAATGCAAATAAACTAGTTTAAAAATTCATAAATTTGATTTAACAATTCTGAAGGCTGACCTTATGGATCAGTGAATACATTCATAATATAATATGATTGTATTTGCAGTGGCATATCAAATTATTTTTATTTACTTTCGAGTTAAATTTTAAGCACACATTTCTCTGTAACAAGTTCAAACTTCAATTTCATATTCATTTTGAATAAAAGTTGAAATTGCTTTAACCAGAATTTGATTTGAAAAATGTGCATTGCTCTTCAACAGAAAGCTGAATTGCTATGAAAAAATATGAATGCAAATTTATACATAACATTATAAATTTATACTTTTAGTATTGATTTACCTGAATTTTTTTTTATTTACCTGCTCATTTCATAAATTCTCAGTACCTAATTCATTCTCATAAATCCACATGTGGTAATATTCCTCCAAATTTAAACAGCTTCAGTCCGAGCTTTAACTTCCACCTCCCAATTTTTTCTCTGTTCCCATAATATAACATTAAATATTAATAAACATCAAAGTTGATTAATTTTAACTTTTCAGAATCACTCGATGTTTATATACACAATTATTTTTATGTATAAATAAAATATAATGCTTTCATCAGCTTCTAGTAACTGCACTCATGTACTACACAAAAAAATAAATAATAAACGAGAAAGTAAGGACATCTTTGGCAAGCGGAAGACTTTATACCCTTGTACAATTGCCTTTTGCAATTATGAGAGAATATGGAAACTTGTGAATGCTGAATTTGATAATAATTATCTTGAAAGAAAGAATATTTTGTCATAAAAGAAGCTACTTTTCGAACCTTCATTCCTATGTCTACACGATATAGAAATTCGATGATTTTTCTATCTTGTCCTTTTTATTTTGTTGTTCGATGGGTGCATTATGGCACCTATAAATGCCAAGTTTGGTCAAGATATCTTGAAAACCAAAACAGTTTTTCATAAAACAACTAAATTTTAGACCGATTGTTCCTATGGCAGCTGTATGATATAGTGGTTTGATCCGGCCGGCCAAGACATATGTACAAAGAGACGGACCTGTGGAAAGTTGATGATAGCTTTAAAACTGAGAGACTAGTTTGCATAGAAACAGACAGACGGACAGACGGACATGGCAATATCAACTCGGCTGTTGATGCTGATCTAGAATATATATACTTGTCATTTCATTTGTTATTACATGATAAGATGTCTCCTATGACAAAGTACAAATACCCTTTACCAGGTATTAGAAAATGTGCTTTCACAAACCATGAAATTGGTACGAAAACCAAATTAAATTAATTAAGTGGCTGCACTTTGAGTAAACGTAATTTTTTTGCGTTAGAAATTGTCAGCAAATTGCTGAGCAAGTTCAATTTAATTAAATTGCATTGCAATAACAGCAAAATCAACACGAAACCTCCCTAACACGCGCGCGCACACACACACGCACTCACACACACACAGCCACAGAACCGCATTGGCATCCTCTGGCCGGCTTCCGCTAGCGGAGACACCCACCCACAGCAATGTGCTTATAACGGCATAATTATGTGCGAAGCCGATAAGCAAACGCGTTAATGCAACAGCCCGAAGAGCGCCGGCAAAGAGCTGAAGAGAGTGCAGCCAATGCAATGCAGCCGCGCTCTGTGCAACAGTTGCAGAAAGAGAACGAGAACGAGAGAGAGAGAGAGAGAGAGAGAAGAATGCAGCGACTACAAACAGCTGAGCCGGCGGCGACGAGGCAAACTCTGGCAGCGACTGCGGCGAGTTGAAAACTTCGTTACGGCTAACCCGGCCCCGGCCGGATTAGTCTGGCGCGCGACTCAATGCGATGCGGATACGGGTGCAGTTACCGTTAAACGGAAAGTGCTCAAAGTGCTGTCCAGCCAATAACAATTAACCATTAACTGCCTATCAAGGCAAGTGCTGCCAAAGTGATTGATTTGTGACCAAAGCAGACCATTGCCCGGTTGCGCCTCGCACGCGAACTCTGTGGAAAAGGCATTGACAAACGGGGCAGCTCCTTTCGCCCAGTTGCTGCTGTGTGTCCTTTGTGTCTGCGGCGTAGTCGCAGTCGCAGTCGACGTCGCTGTCGGGCGAGTCAATAACCCGACGTCGCCTCTTTGTCTCTGTGTCGATGGCTTCAAAACAAACAACGGCATCGAGAAATTTGCAAAATTTTGTGGTCAGCTGTGGTACTAAAGACAAAGTGGATGCCAGCATGCCGCAACAGGCACAAACACAAAAAGCACAACTCAAACATATCAATGGAAATGGCAGGTTGCCAAAAGTGATAACAACCGACAGCAGCAGGTAACCAACCAATATAACATACAATTAAGTTCACCTAGACAACTAACGCGATAAGCGGAAAACAAGAGTTTAAGAACTCTCTAACGGAAGAGTATTGCTCGTTGCCATCTTTATAGCTATGGACGATCGATTGAAATTTCGATTATTATCGATTTTACAAAAATATCGAGAAATATTCATAAGTAACGGTTACATACTGAAAACAAGTTGAATTTCTACATTTCAACTTGAATTTAACTTAACTTAACTTGACTTAAATCAATTCACAATACTATTATTATTAACTTTCGATTCAATATTTATCGATTAAAAGGCCTTTTACCAATTAATCGTTAAAAACTGCATCAATTTAAGAAATCAAATTTTAAAGTAACTATTTATTCGATTTTTAGAGAGCGTAAAAGGAAGTGAATATCCTACTCGAATATAGAATGAAATTTTTACTTAGCTTTTCAAGGCCTTCGCTCTAGTTCCAAAAAGGGAGCATTTTGAAACTTGAGTGATATATTATTTTCGAGAATCAAATCCTGGGCACGAAAACTGGTGCTAAATCTATAATTTCTCAATAGTTTGATGAGCGTGATTTTCAGGGATATCAAACCATATTTCCAACCTAAAATAGAGAGTTAGAAAACAGTTATTATTATTCTCAGATGATTTTTAGTCTTAAATACAATATTATTCAATTTGCACGATTATATTCCATACCTATGCAGTTGCGCTTGCCCTTTGAGAAAGGTATATAGGCGTATGAATGCTTCTCCTGCAAATTTTGAGCCCTACAATTTTCGGGATTATATATTTCTGCCTCGGGGCCCCATATATTTTTGTCGCGGTGTGTGTGGAATATGCTTATCGAGGTGTGCAGACCTTTAGGTAACACGACTCCATTTGTTAGCTTCAAATCTTGGGACAGTTGTCGTGCAATAATTGGAATTAAAGGCGCCAGCCTCATGCTCTCATGTACCACCATGTCCAGGTACTCCAGTTTTAATAGATCTTCATAGAGAACTTCAAAGTTACCACTAGCGGGAAATGCCGACTTGATTTCCTCGTAGACTTTCTCCTGATATTGCGGATACATGGCCAGCTGCATCAGAGTGTAGCCAATGGTCATGGCAGTTGTCTCGAATGCGGCTATCACGAATGTGTGACACTCATCCACGACATCCTGATAGCTGAAGACCTTCTTTTTGAACAGATCAATGGCCCGCTTAATGAATATATTGTTGTTGTTGTCAGATATGCCATCAGTATTCAGTTTGCGGTCAACCAGCTAAAACCAAAATATATTTATTAAAATAATCAAAACTATTTAATTAAATTACCATTTTAATGCGTTGCCGAATTCTACCATTTTCCTCTTTAACAATGTTCACAAAGCCATAGAAATAGCTCATTAATCTGTTATTAAGCCATGGTGATATGGTCAATTCAGTTCCAGCTTCAAAAAGGCTATAATAAAATGGAGTTGGAGGTGTATACGAAAAAGTAAATGTCTGCTGAGAATAAACCTACTTCTCATAGCTTGTCATTATGGAATTACTTGAATAACATTCGTCCTCTTTAATCTCGCTGCCCATTGTAGTTTCTGTAGATAATAATGCGTACACAATCAGATTATTCAGATTTGGGAATGTTCAAGCTTCTTACATACGTGTTGTAATTCTCAACGTAAAGTTCTTCAATATTGCGTATACGTCCTGTGCTCCCTTGCCTACCAACGCATCCAGTTCCTGAAGTAAAAGGGCCGTCTCATCGTTGAAGACGGGCAAAAAACTGAGCAAAACATTGTGTGCAAAGACCGGATTTAAATTCTTTCGATGCACGGTCCACAAGGGATCTATTTCAATTGCTCAGATTGTTACTGTAATTATATAATATATTCGAGTACAATTTCTTACCTTTGATAACAACTATTCCATTTCCGACAATCTGTTCCATTACGCTGTATGCTATGTCCGCCTTATTTATGGCATGCGGCGATGTCAATATATCCTGAATTGTCTGTGGATCACTGACAACGAACATGGGTATTGGACCAAACCAGCTCAGCCACAAAGGTCCCCGCTTTTCTATTTCAACGGCGAACTCATTCAAGAGAGCTGCAATTTAGTATCGATACTTTAGATCAAGTTCACACTTTTAAGGCATCGTTTAGCTTACCATTTCGGCCCACACATCTGTGCAATATGCCAACTAGGGGATAGCCCATTGGACCGGGCACTTTCAGCATTAGTTGATAGAATTTGCGGCGTTTCCAAAGAAAATAGATCCACAAAACTAGCAAATAGCTGATACACAACTCAATAGAAAACATGACTTAAAACCGTTTTTGTGAATATAAACAAACAGTTTGTTTGGCTTTTTTAGTTTGTTTGAGCTTTTATAGAAACCCGCTTCTGCCCTGCACACTGAATTTCAATTAGTTGAACGATAAAATATTAATAAGCAAATTCGTTCCTTTTGTTTCACTCATGACCTACAACTTTTCTGGGGTCACAAAAAGATCGTTCGTTTAAGTGAGTTCTAAGTATTGCAACAGCTGCACTTAGTGAACGACGAATGCGCTGCATTTTAAATAGAACCAGTGTTGCAAAACACGCTGTTTTCGAAATAGTTGCTCGATTTATCGAATCTACAGATGCAGAGCTTAAAATTATTATGTATACTCGGGTCGGAGCTAGAGTCAACAAAATTGATAGATCGAAAGATAGAACAAAGTATATTTTGGGATTTCTTCATTTTAAACAGATATAATGCAAGCTAATTTTGCAGAATTTCAGTATAAATGTCCAATTAAAAACAAAAAATTATTAAAAAATATATTCATTATTTACAATATATATAATATATATAATAATATGTTCAATAGGAAAATCAAATTCCAGCTGTACTTAGGATATTCACCGTATTATATTACTGTTAAATGGTTCTGCTATCTTAAGCTTTTCCAGTTGTATTTTATTTTTTCTAACTAAATTATAATTAACAATAAGTGTGTGTCCGAAAGGCCGACCCCGCAGTCTAGCGTACAATATATGTATATGTACGAAGGCGACTTTTGTAGTATTCAAATTCAACAACAAAAACAAAAAGAAACAACAAGAAAAACAACAGCAAAGGCACGCACTGGGGGCAAATCCAAGAAATGCAAACACAATAGCTTTTCCATAATACGCAAATTGTGGGGGCATTACTTACAGATAGATGTAGATGTGAGTTGTGCCCCCAATTAAGTGACAATGGAAACTTCCGCGACACGCACAGCTCAACTAGAACCAAACCGAGCCGAGCCGAGCCGAGCTATATAAATCCAGCAAACATTGTGGACGCTATAATAAGTACGTATACTTTAAATAGAGCCCACAATTTATGGACGGGCACGAAAATGTTGTCATTAAAATGCGATTAGGCCATAAATTCAACTCGATAGCGTCTAATTGAAAGCGCAAACAAATGCAACTATATCAAAATCAAAAGGCTTTAGTTGCATTTGACAACGTCAAGTGTTTGTGTCGGAAAAATGCCGGAGAAAATGTTGTTAAAATGCACAGACAATAGAAAAACTGTCGCATTTCTGGCGAACTATTGTAGCTTACTTTCCGTTTTGTTTGCACAGATTCTCAAGTGTGTGTGTGTGTGCGTGTGTGTGTGTGTTGGCGTCTGCACTGGGTCAATAACATGGCAAGTGCAGATGGGCCATTGTCTGGCTGCCTGGGCGCACTCTATTGTTGTTCTTATCATAAGGTGCGCACAGTTCGTGGCAGGAAGCATTCGATAAGCAAATAGACAGTTCTTGCAACTACGCTCTCTCACCTCGCTCTCCCTCTCTCTCTCTCGTATCTCTCTCTACCCTGGCACCTGCCTACCCCAGTTGTCATTTCTGTTTTGCTTGCCGCTTTCTCCTGTGCGGGGACATTGATCCCATTTAGCTGGGCTGGGCCACGCCTATGCGAAGCCCCTGCCTCCCAGCGCTTGTGTATGTCACATCCGCAATGTAAGATATGAACTGCATATTGCCTCAAGCTCAAAAGTGCAGCAAAAGTGCCAAATATTTATTAAACGTAAACATATTTCAATTTTCAATAAACACAACTTAATTGTCGCTCTGTTAATTGCAAATAGACTGAGAAAAAAAACGAACCAACAAGTCATTAGGTGCAAATCGTTTTCTCAGCTAATCTGCGAAATTTGTTGTTTGCCTGCGATAATCATCAGAAATTTAACCATGAGACATGAAACTATTCCAATTACATTACATTTCGTTTGCGCTAATAACTTTTTGTGCTTTTATTGTTTAATTGTATTTTTTTTGTTTTTGTTTTTTGTGGTGAACCCTTGTCATATGCAGGGCTTTGGTTGCCCTTGCAGCTGACGCTTGAAATTCAACGCGTTAAATGGCGTCCCACAAAGACAATAAAACTGGCAGCAGACGCCAACAATGACATCAGCCGAACTAAAGGATATACACACAACATTTTGGCATGACATTATATGCTGGTTTAAATGCGTTCAAGGGTGGGGTCGCCCATTTACTTAACTGGTAGCATTAGCAATAAGAAAGCCAAATTGCCAGCTGACGACCCTGAGCCGTATGCGATTCATAACGTCAGAGGGCCTTGACAACATCTTGTGACGACTTAAGTCTTGCACAAATTCACAAAAATTATTTTTAGGTATGTTTTAGAATGCAGTTCAAGAGAACAATTGATTAAACTCATTAATTATTCATTAGTTAAATGTATTATTTAACCTTAGACATCAGATGTCGCTTACCATTACAAAATATTGAAAAGATTGTCATATTCAAAATCTATTAAGTTGAAGAACTTTGAATTTTGACTTGAATTTAAGGTTTAGATTATAGTTGCAGCACTTTTTTGTCCAAGCAAAGTTCAAGTTCAAGGAATAGTCTCTTTATATCAATTGCGTTTAAATCAAACTGACTTAAGAACTTAAATTAAGAATTTCAAAATAATTTATAAGTGTTTCTTCAATTACATTTATCCTCAATACTTGTGTAATTCTTCAATTTCCTTTTTAATAATTTGATTAAAAATTCCTTTTTGATATACTTTTGAAGTCTAATGAAAATTTGCTTTTAAGAAAATGTAATTCAATCGGAAAGATTTTTCAAGAAGTTGTTAATTGGATTAACAGCTCATTATCTATGAATCCTGGGGCTTAAAGGTTTTGTTCAACAAAAAAAAAAAACATTTTAATTGCAAATTTTTGCAGCCAAGCTGTAATTTAAACACATTTTGTATGTATAGTTGGCAACGGGTTTTAGCCCAATTAACCAGCTAAGCCATAAATAGGGCTTTGGGTCAATAAATTGCTTAAAAGCTTAAACTCTGTGTATCTTGTTATTGACTATAAAACTTTAATTAAGTTTGTAGCTGTTGAGCCAATGTCTGGGGTTAACCTCTATATGGGTTAAAGGAAGAGTTGATAGCATATATTTAATAAACGATAATGTGATTTATATTGTGATATATATTAAGAATGTAATGCTAATCATCTCAGCTATGTTATTGTTATTCAAGACAGCTGCTTAATTAAAAAGTTTGTAAATATTTTCGTGTTTCGGATGTGTTAGGTAAAAGTCAAGGTGAGCCAAGCTCCAGATGTCAGTCAGAATTGATATAAAAAGTAATCGCTATACTATATTTTCTTCTTTCCAAACTAGTCCAGCTGTTTACTAGACATATATATCAAAGCTTTTCCGCTGAACAAATATCAAAATGAATGTAATATTATCTATCTATATTTACTCTATTATATTGTCATCATTTCATATCCGAATGCTCTTTCGCTTTTATTTCCAGCGTATCACATTTTTGTTGATATTTGAGCGTTTCACTAATTGTGCCATTAATTGAGCAATTACATTTTTATCAGAATTGTTGACTATCATAAAATGTGCCAACATTTGTTGACACTTGAGTATAAACAAATTGCAAAACGAGTGCCATAAACTAAAGTATACCAAAAACCAAAAATTTGTACGTTCATAATCCAACCATATCTACATTATTATCGTTTAAAAACTCATTAGAGCTCTTGAAAAATAATTTCCGAATTTATGAAATGCGTCAAAAATCATAAACCGATTTTGAAAACCAAGCAGTGCCATATAATAAAAGAGTTGTCAGAAGAAATAAAAGGAATATTATTATCTGCAATTGGCAGAGACTGCAGCCTTATCGAGCGAGTCTTCAAGTGGCCAGCCCAATGACGCACCCATTTCTGCTGAGTAGGTTGTCACGTTTATTAAACAATTTAGTTACCAAGTACACGATCTCAAGAGGTTGTCGATAAGTCAAGAACAAGAAAATTTCGAACTGAAAATAGCTACTTGGGCGGTTTTGTCAAATAGAAATGATCTTGTTTATGACACATTTCTCCGCAATGATAATTCAAGTGCTTAACGATAAGATGAAAAATGTCTGACGTCAATGCGGCTTAGCTTATTAATATTAGCAATAATATTACAGATGGCCTAAGTTATCTTTGAAGTATTTATTTGTACAAATTATAGCTGCAAAATGCCGCACGTTTTATAATTCTAGTTGACTATGACGAAATCAACATTAGTTTTATCAATATTTTATGTTAAAGCTGTCAGGTGTTAATTGGCGATAATTAGATTGAATTTATTAAACAATAAAAATATATTGCTTATGACCTGATATACCAGATCAATGACAAATCTGCCGTTCAGCGGAAATCAACGTTGCGTCCTAACAAAGCAAACAAACAAACAATCCAAAATATCTGTTGAAAATCCCAGCTAAGAGAGTTACAAAGTTCCCCGCATCTGATGCTACGTAATTAATATTTAAAAAAAAAACAAAATTCAATTAAACTGACTTTCTGGCAGTCAGTCAGTCAGTCAGTTAGTCAATCAGTCAGTTAGCCAAATTCTCAGTTAGTTTTGAGTCTGTGTCGAGACATAAGCTAAGCCATTTGGTAAGTTGGCAAAACTTGATGCGGTTGCCGCTTTCCAGTTAAAGCCGGTCAAATGCTGCCTTGCAGTCGGCGTCGCAGTCGACGTCGCAGCTGGCGTCGCTGTTGGCGTCATTACGCATCCAGCACCGGCAGCTCGTTGCAAATTTAATTTAAATATATACTCGTACTAGTCTCAGGCAATATAAAATCAACACAACACACCGAACGTATTTGTTTTTCCTTCAAGTTTCGTTATTTGTGTTCAGTTTTCTTTTGATTTAGCCACGGCAAACAGCTGTTTTCCGATTCGTAGCGGTAATACTCATTAGTGTAACCAAACATACAGACATATCGCTAAACATATATGCATATATATATAAAGACGAGTCGGGGCCATTCAGTTAGTAGCTG